ATGCCAACAGCCTGTTGAATAAGCGTGTATGGCTAACTGCTCCATTGCGTCTGTAGGATGGACCGTATATAATGTCAACGTGATGCTCAATGAAGTTTAGGAGATAATAGATATTCATTAGTAAGACAAACTCCCTTATGCACCCGTGGATGCAAAATCACTGATGACTCGTTCTGATTTCCTCGAGCCGTGTGGGCTTTAAGCTATCGTAACAATAAATGAGCTCGTCCCAAAGCTGTCTCAGTTTGAGAACCCACGGATCCAAGCTGTGACAACCCAGGACTATCGCCTCTCCGAGTTGTTAGCCGTTTGCACAGTTTTGAGCCACCACTGTCGCTTAGTGAAGGTTGCAAGCTTTAGTTTCATGCACTTCGTCAGCGAGCTGCGCCAGTTCTCTAACTGAGGTAGTCTCTGGTCGACATGGATGACCCCTGTGACCAGACATGTGCATGGATCCGAGAAAATGGATCTGGGATCTGATCCCACGGATCCTGCTCTCGGATCCGACGGGATCATAGTTCCAGCTCTGTAATTTATCGAGAGATCCGCAGGGATCACAGATCCGAGTTTAATTTTTGGCTTGAGATCCAGTGAGATCATAGATCCTCACTCATGTTTTGTCAACACATATATCCCAAAAAAGCACTTGTTTCAACTCACAAACGTTCTGTTTTAGTGATTTTATGTGATCGCACGTCATAATCCATAGTTCTGTGTCACTTATTGGCATAGAAACCCTTTAAAACATAGTTTCAAATGTGGTGCATGGTGGGATCCACTCAGATCATAGATCCATGTTCTTAATTTATCGTCAGATCATATGAGATCATAGATTCAAGATGTATTTTTCACGACGGATCCGGTGGGATCACAGATCCCAACCTGTACTTTGCTTCGAGATCCACTGAGATCATAGATCCATCACTCGGATCCATGCACATGTCTGCCTGTGACCTCTCGGTACCTCACGGCTACCCCCCCCCCCGGTCACTGTGCGACGAGCCTCGGGCGGCTCTGCTCCGACCAACTCGCGGCTGAGTGTGCGACATCCGCCTGTTTGTGTCGGCCGATACGGCCCGGCTGCGGCGGCCGACTGCAATTTGTGCTGGTCGTTTCACGGCGGGACCCGGCCGCGCCCACGGCGGTGTGCGCTCGCCCGGCTCGACTCAATCTCAGTACGGCAAGAGTAGAGCCGCCGCACACCGCCCGACGATCGTCACGCCGGCATAAACGACAAAACACCGGCCCGCTTTGGCCGCCAGACAATTTTCAGACTTGCCCCGGCGATCCCAGCGGGCCATAGATATACAGACTAGATAGGACACACCCATTGGCTCCCCATACTAGCGAACATGTAGGTCAGGCGGCCATGTTGGGGCAGCCGTCTACATAGACTCGCATTTGCTACAACACGTAAAGTGAATGGGGATGAAGCGGTTTCGAGCCCGTTTTCCAAACCGATTTTAGAGTTATTGGGAGGCTGCAGATGGCCAGTATGATTATGAAATGATTAGTTAGAGCCTATAGCATCACCAAATGGATTTGAAATCAATTTTTTATCATCGTACCGTACCACAGCGAGGGATTAGTCACCCCTTGTTCCCAGACGGTTTACTCGTGCTTGTTCGGTACGCGCTGGCCTCAGAGAGCTGAAAGTTGGTACAACTGACCTTTCATTAAATCCGGATCTTATGACACTAATCACCCTTTCAGGTCATGCCCGGTCACTGACCTATGACGTCATAATAAAGCCACCGTGCGGTCATGACATGCCGCAACTTCGCAATGCCTTCAGTGCCAGAAGAGCTTTCACAGGGAGATCAAACTAACAGAACCTTGTACCCTCCAGAGACCTTATAGCTTGTATATCTAATATTTTTCCTCATGGTCACCTGAGGTCAGGTCAGTCACGTGACATCGCCATCACAAATCAATGGGGAAAGGTGGGAACTGCTATTTTGGTGCCGAAAATGATTGAATATTATGCAAACGCACGAAACCATGAGACAATAGCTAATACACATCTTGTAAACCAATTTTTAACTTTTGCACCGTTTTCTTTAGCGACATAGGTTACGTCACGAAGCCAGAGTCGGAGTTTTAGGTAAATCATTCGATTAAATTGAGCTGGCGAGTCGGGACAGTCACCAATGGACTCAAGACCAGAGCTGCGGAGTCGATGGATTTTCGGCGACTCCGACTCCGACTCCGGCTTTCAAACACCAGCTCCGACTCCGACTCCGACTCCTGGCAGAATTGTCGACTCCAACCGACTCCAACTCCCGACTCCGCAGACCTAGCAGGGCTGCGGAGTCGACAGATTTTCGTTGACTCCGACTCCGACTCCGGCTCGGGTTTCTAAAATCGACTCCGACTCCGACTCCGACTCCGGTCACAACTGTCGACTCCGACTGACTCCGACTCCGACTCCGACTCCGCAGCCCTGCTCAAGACCGTCAAAATCGAAATGAGTTATACGGCCCTCTTAGATCAACGTGACCATTTTGACCTGACTTTGACGTAAGGTCAGAATTCTAGGTTGACCTTATCCCAGCACAAGCATATCATCGACGCGCCTGAGCATGGTGATTGGTGACTAGGATGATGCCTATATCGCTAACGTTTATCAGCAAACTAGACGCTACTACATCAAAACCGCCCGTCCTGCCGTCGATGCCGCCACAGACGGGTGCCGCTGCTCCCTGGGAGCCGCCTCGGTGTCCGACCTGCCGTCGGGGCCACCATAGACGGGTGCCGCTATTCCCTGTACACTTCCTCTGTTGCCCGGTCTGCCGTCGGGGCCACCCCACACATAAACGTGTGCCACTGCTCCCAAGGTGCCGCCCGGCCTGCTGTCGGGGCCGCTACAGACGGATGCAGCTGCTGCCGGAGTGCCGCCCGGCCTGTCCATCGGGGCAGCCACAGACGGGTGACGCTGTTCCCTGGGCACCGCCCAGCCTGCCCGTCGAGACCGCCTCTGACGAGTGACGCTCCCTGGGGCGTGCTGTCCGGATCGACATTTTCCCGTTCTTGTGTGCGTTTCGAGACTGTTTGGAACAGGCCAACGTCCTGGTCACAGCTTTTTCTAGCCTTTGCTTCAGCCCCCGCAGCTCTGGCAGCTATTGAAATGTTCCTGAGGAAAATAAAAACAACAAATCATGCCTTCTTCTTGGTTCTCCTATAGGGATAGGGCGATGAGTGGACTCGACACTGACATGCACATTGCACACACTGCCATGTTCACACACATTCACACATGAGGCGATCAACCAAGGTTCATAGAATACAAATCTTTACGAGCGAGAAAGAAATGAGATTGATTATCGAAAAATATTGAGATATAATTTCAAAAATATCGGGTTAAATGAGTATGAACTGTCAAACTTGGCATCAAACATTCTAGAGAAGTCCATATATTTGCAGCCATACATACTATTTAGCAAACAGTTATCATGTTGTGTAGCTTATCCATTCTTCCTTGAAATTACGCATTGTTGAAGCATTTGGGGAGTCAACTCGGCACGTTCCACCAGGCACCTACTAAATCATCGGTGCCAAATCTGTTCTGCTTGCAATAACTCCTATTTAATGCCTGGACACATTTTGATGAAACTTTGTGTATTGTTGGGCACCCACTTCCCTTGGCAATGCAATGAGAAATGTGGTTTGGGTGCAAGCGCGTGCTGGGTATTTTTATGAATCCAGAATGGCAGGATGCATTGCATACAAAATTAGGACACTGGTTGGAGACCAATCTGATGAGTGGCTTATAAGTTTAAGCAATCACTTGAGGCATACTATTGTACATATATGTACAATTGTACATGTGCAGAGCTTGTACCTATCTACCGGGTGGCCCAGAAAAAACGTTCCCAACTTTAAATCAATATTTCTCAGAAAGTGATGAAGATACGACATTGAAACTTCGAATAGTCAATGCGGCACACATTTTCAGTAAATGGTGTGATTTTCATGGTGTTCGATAAAATAATTTTTAAACGGTTCATGTTTCAAGCATGCCATGTAAAAATTACTTTTTTGCTCCGATGTTTACTAAAAATGTGAGTGAACGGGTCACTTTCACCCCGCGGCACCGCGGCCTAGGGCCATGACTTTATGGCAGCTAGTCTCATAGATGGTTCGGGTCTCAGGATGACACATTCCCTCAGGCAACCACGATGGCTCTGTGCCAGCGGCATCGGAAGAAGTTTCCAGTTTTCTAACCATCTTGTTGCTCAAATGCTTTCCTGGCTGACATTCCTGGGAACAGGTAGCTTTTCAACCAGTTTTTTTTTTTGTCATCTGCTGGCAATGTTGTTTTTCATAAGCTATTTTGTGGTTTTCTGGCACAGGAACCAGTCTGCTTTAGTTTGTTTTCCTTATCCGGTCGATTTACTGTTTGATCTACTGAAAGGTGGGTAATCAGCAGTAATCCATGCACCGTGCCACTCCTGCTCGAAACATGATTTGATGTTGAAACGAATGGCATCCATGAGCACCATATTTGGCTCAGTATTTGAATATTTGGCACATAAGTGAGACAAAAATATTTGAATAAAAACATACGTGTTGGTTTCATTCACGTGCTCTATTTTCTATTCTTTTTAATAACATGGGACGTCTAACCCAATCATCACTATCGTTTGACATCGGCAAAAAAAGCAAAAACGTCTTGCTTAATTCAACTCAAGATTCCCAGCTTGAAAATGATGGTATAGTGTTATAATTTGGCATACCAATGCGCAAGGAAATGACGCAAACTTGATGAAAATTTTGGCTCGTTATTTGTACTCGAATTTGATATATAGGCCTCCAAACTTCGGAACGTTTTTTCTGGGCCACCCGGTATTTCTCACAAACATCTGGAATGGTTGTGCTCAAAGTTGGTATGGTATGTTGTAACAGTATAAACAGATCATCATAGGCTGCTTTCACATGTTAGCAATGACACAGCACTGGACTCTGCTCACCTTGCACAACTACATGCCACTCACCTGCAGGTGATCAGGGAAGAAAGACCTGATGGGACTGCACCATAGTACAGCCAAACTGGTTTGTGCAATCGAAGGAGCCCTCATCATGAAGTGTGCCGCATGACCAAGCTTGCCCCCTTCCGACACATGTTGCCACCAGTCCATCTTCACCTGAATGCGCCAGTCCTTTCGCTGTACACATCTGGGTCTTGAGGAAACCTAGGAAGTGAAAAAAAAATGGCAGGCATCTGTTAACCCTAGAACGCCTAGGGGGGGTTGTATCAACCCCCCCTGAGGTTTTTTCGAAGTGCACGCTAAACGGCTTGTCGTAGCGGGCTGAAATTTTCAATACCCCCTGGGGCAACCTTTGCGCATCTTTTGCCGAAAAAAAAATTGATCGGGTCATGTCAGGTCACGGAGTTATGACGTCATAAGAGGTACAGCCTCCGGCCGGATTTTCACAAACTGAGTGCCAACGCCCGAGGTTTCCTGCCGGTGGTACGGACATCGGTTGATGGATCGTGATGAAACTTCCCATGCATGTTGGGGCAAGTATTGGCTATCATATGGTATAAGAAATTTGACCGGGTCAGGTCAGGTCACGGAGCTATGACGTCACAAGAGGAACAGCGTCCGGTACTATTTTTGAAAAGCGCCCGAACCACTATTCTGCTGATTCTTGTCACCTCAATGGGAATATGCAGCAATATTAGCTTCTATAGGGAGCAAATGGACCTTCCAAATCCAAAAATACAATCAGCTTTCAAAAATTTAAATTTTGATTTTTCGAATTTCTGCCGCCGACTGTGACCTTGCCGACTTCCGGCGCTCCCAACGCGCCATTTTTAGAGCTAGGGAAACGAAATGCATACCAAACGATAGAGAATTGATCAAGGAACACGGTAGTGAAGGTTTCAAGTCGATATCTCCCACCGTTTTGCCGCAATCGCCGCCGAAAGTTGAAAAAGTCTATTTTTCCGAAAATTTGACCTTTGACCGGTCAAAAGTAGGTCAAATGTTGACCTAGGACCAAAAAATATACCACCAATCGCGAGATCTCGTTGAGAGCAATCCGTTGGTTTTTTCCGCTAAGCTCTACGACCTTCCGTTTCGAAACGCCAGGGGGGGTCGTAACAACCCCCCCCCCTGGTCGTTCGTGTTATGAGAAATGGCCTGGTCGTGCGAGGGTTAATGTGTTGAATAACTGGTAACAAGGGGCTGGGTAGATGTTTGTCCAAATGAAATATCCTTTGTAACTATACAGTAAACATTTATATTCACTGCATCTTGATGCTACTCAGCTTTTCACAGACCATTGTTTAATCAATTGTTCTTATGGCCAACTGTTGTTATTGATTGTGATGTATCCACATTACAACATGAACAGAGACTATCTCACAAAATACATAATAAGAACAATACTAACTGCAATTTATATCCATTTCCAAAACATCCTCTCAGACTTAACTGAAAAAAGATATCTTCTATTTACCTGTGGAGAAATACACCCTTTCTTCCTTCAAACTGGTTAGAGCAGTTGCTAGCTAGGCATCTTGCAGCCTTTTTGAGCACTTGTGAGTTGCGCATATAACTGAACCTGAAAGATAGATACATTAATTGATCATTTTCTTGGGTCAATTACCTGGGCTACATTAGCAAGTAACTATGCATCAGGAAAAGATTTTCCTACTCGCTCACCACTGTATTCAGTTTGAAATATGCATTTACCAACTTTGCTCATAAAACCCAGGTCAATGAAGACTTAGGTATTTCAAACCATTTAGATGGCAAGAGAAATATTGCAATATCTGTAAGGCAATATCTGTAATGGTTCACAATTTTGGAATTTCACATGTAGACGATTGTTTTTAAGGCACCAACCACAGCCCAGACGGCAATGCCGATAACATATTGCCAGTGCAGAGGTGCTCATCAGCTGCACAGGGTGGCTTAGATTTGCAGCAGAAAGGTAAACATTTTTGTGTTAAGCATTGCTGGCAATAACATCATACAATGCAGATCTGCTGCACTGGCATATCATATCTACTCCAAGAAAATGGTGAACAGATAGTCAGTCGTCAGAGACATAACGCAGTCACTGACTGCAAGTCAGCATGATTTCAAGTCTTATATTGCAGCATTTCCTATCAACAGTGAAGATATAGAAGCTTGTGGTAAAAATGTAGGTCTTGCTAGTCAGTGCAGCTGATATCTGTTGCAGATTTTCAGAGGACTGAAGCAGACATGTCGCCCCAGCTTGTGCGGCTGGCTGACTGTGTTGACGCGCTTTGCAGTCTGGCGCACAGTAACTTTTCAAAAGCTGAAGTGTTTTTAAATATGAAATGAGGATATATTTGACATATTGCTATAATTTAACCTACCATAATCCTAAAATAAAACTCATTTTAGCACCAGCACTTTGTATCACAAACTACACTTTTCAATGCCTAGATCTTTTGTTGTTTATATAGTAAATAAGGACGAAAATAATGGTATGAGATACTACTATACTTCCACATTATGTTTATCCAACAAAATGTACTATCAACCCCTTAAATACCCTCAAATGCAAAGCAGCATACCTGTCAGACAATGGCGCCATCCGGGTAACACTCCCTCCTTTCTATCTTCATATATCTAAATCAAAACTAGTTGAGCACAATATAACCTCCATTTGACATTCTCCAAGCTTCAATCTATGAGCTGAACTCCAAAGACAAACACTTTTCACTCTAAAAATACCAAAAAAATGTGCCGTAAACTTTCCCATTTTCCCGTTGACTTACACAGAGCTGCCCCGCCGAGAGCTGCCCCAACATGGCGGCGCCCTCTGCATGCCGTCGCTAAACAGCTGCCCTATCTAGTCTGTATATCTATGCAGCGGGCGGTTTGCTGCGATTCGATTTGGAGACAGGTTGCGGCTTTCTTCCGCCAGGAGTCTGGGCGACCTGTAGGCACAGAATATTAGTGATGGTTTGGCGGTCTGTTACTGGTTGGGTAATGGCGGGAGCTACCTTTCTGAAAAATAAATGTCCACAAATCGATCAACTAAGCAGCAAGGTAAAACGTGAATCTTTATGCCTTATTGTTGTTGAGCAATTGAAGTAGTTTACTTTCCTGTCAAATAGTACAGACGGTAATTACTCGCCGGTCATTCAAGAAAGCTGAGGCCAGTTTTACCAAAACATACCAGCCGGCCGCCGAAATAAAATATCCAGCCGAAAAAATAGACGCCACACAGCCACGAGTTTCACCAACAAAAAATTCCAGCCGACTTCGGACGGAAATTATTTGTCGCCGGTAGTCAGCTGATATTCTGTTACGATATCAAATTACGATATGTCAAGGAGGTTAATAAATCATTTAGAGCATGTTTTCAATCAAATTGAAGCGTGATTTCTAATGCAAATGCTATATACATTTCGAAATATTATTATCGTAAATTATTACATTATTTTCAAGAGTAAAAACAACAAAGTAGAGCATTATAAACTTTCATATCTATATTAACATTCTGGTGCCCAGCAAAAGCCAATCAATACAAAACTACCAAATTGTAAACGCAGGTACGTCATTCATAAAGGTGACGTAAGGAAGCTTGCATTTAGGGCAAATTTAAGATGGATCTTTTTTCCTGTCAGCCTATTATGTTAATTTTTTACAATACCTTCAACTTGCTATGTACCTTTTTGTCTGTTTTTAGTCGCACCTTGTAGAAAATCATCGTGTAGGCCGAGAACGCAATGTGTGGACCTCCACCTATGAGGTGGGGACTAGATGGGACCACTCCAGTGGCAGCGGAACATCTTCAATTAAGGGGGCACTGCCGACTTTTGGTCCCATTCTTTCCATGCAACGCCCATAGGGCTTATATTAAAATGTCAAAATCAAAGGGGGCACGGTGCCCCGGTGCCCTACCCGTTCCGCCGCCTATGAGTCCCGCTCCCGACAGCTCCGGGAGCCGCACCTCTTTCCTAGCTTTCAAAAGAGCGGCAAAGAAGCGGTCAACATTGCTCCCAGAGACGCCACCTGAAGCTGGACGGACGACGGACAGTTCCGCAGCCGAGCGATTGAACTGCGGTGCTACGAGGCGGCTTCGCGTGCACTGTATTAGCACCTTCTAGCGGGAGTAAGAGGGCTAACGAACTCGCCAAGGCCTATATAAAGCATTGTGCCAAGGCGAGTGTCTTACCTTAGGAAAATACCTACCCAGATTAACTGCTGCACCGCGGTCATTGCAGGGCTGAGGGTGGTCGCTCGCTCCGCTTCGGCGAGGTGGATGTCAGACTGCCCGGCTAGGTGGTTTTAGCCGATATGCAGGCCCCGTTTGCCGGGCCCGGTCGAGAAGAAGAAACGCCACACAGCAAAGAATACTCGCTCCGGGCCCGCTACACTGGTCCAGCTCGTAAGTCGTAACAAATTAACAATACCTGCGCTAGCGTCGTCGACCGTCGTTCGACTGCGCCCAGTACCGCTCAGTGGAGAGTCCTGCCGAACTCCTCCGCGTGTGCCGAGATCATTCGTTGCGCGCGGACACAATCGTCCGACGGAGACCGCTCTGCATTATGATCGGGTGGTCACCACCTTGGTCGCCGGCTTTCACACCCAGCCGAGCCGTCTGGCTACGCCCCAAATGATCGTCTAAGCCTTTCGATTGGTTTGTAACTCGGGTCTAATATCGAAATATTTGGGAGTTAGGACATGTTAAATCCGTGTTCATGAACAAATATACATTATGCAACTAAAACGCTTTACTTACTTTAACTTTTCTAGGCTGATGACAAGGCATACACCTATTCATTGCAATATTTCTAAAATGTAAATAAATCATGAGCAATGGGCATAAAAAACAACAGCGATCCACTAGAAGCTAGTGTGGAAATCCACTGACGTAGGTCGCCTCGTACTGGCGCAGCTCGTAGCTCGTCCAGCAGCGCCAGCGTCTCCCGCACCCGGCCGCCCGCCTTGCCCGCCTGCACCATCAGCCGCTGGAAATGGCTGCGCTGCCGCTCCAACATTAGCTTGACCGCCTGGCCGGCCCGGCAGATGCGCGCCGTCCGACGCACGCAGTGTACGTCTTCAACAGCGCCGGGATGTCGTACGACACGACCGCGTCCACGGCGTCCACGTCAATACCGCGCGCTATAGCCTCGAGCACACCAGCGCGGCCATCTCACCTAGCGCGCGCCGCCGGCGGCACGCAGGCACTACCCCACAGAACTCAGTCACGAGCGCGCCCAGCACAGACAGCGGTAGCTCCAGCTGGTGCGCCACCTCGTTCCAGTTGACCAACACGAGCGAGCGTCGCCAGTCGGGCTGTCGGAGCAAATGGTGCATCACCAGCGGCTTCAGCGGCTGCGGCGCCACCACGTTGAACGACTCGCTCAGCTCGGCCGGCGTGGTGAACCTGCCGACGAACTAACCGGGCAGTGCGACGGCGGCGGCCACCGTGCCGGCCGCCAGCAGTCGCGGCTGGAACAGCGACATTCGCTCCAGCTTCTCCGGCCTCCGGGTTCTGTGACAGGGTGGCCAAGAACGGCAGCTTCTGCAGCGGCAGGTGAGGCGCGCAGACGGCGGCGGCCGTCAGCCGGCCGGCGATGCAGGGCGGCGGGCCGTGGCCGCCGCCACCCGCTCCACCGCTTTCAGCCAGCCCGTCTCGGCCATCTCGATCACCCGGTCGGCTTCGTCGATCACCAGGTAGCGCAGGTGCGCTAGCGAGAAGCCCTCGGAGCTGGTTATGTGATCCATCAGCCAGCCGGGAGTGCTCACCACGATCAGCCAGGGAGACCGGGCCGCGCGGCCCCACCGCCACCAGTTGGCGCCCCCTCGTGCAACTGTGTCTCCACCAAGCAGCCGGACGCAGAGCGGCGTGTCGGCGTCGTACTGGCGGAACACGGCGGGCACCTGAGCGGGCAGCGCCTGTGTGGGTAGCACAGCTAGCGCGCGCACCCGGCGGCCGGCGCCGCGCCTGCACTACCGGCAGCACAAACGCCAGCGTCGTACCGCGGCCGGCCGGCGCCGAGACGCAGAGGTCGGCCGGTGGCAGCGGCGACTCTGTGGCCGCCAGCAGCTCGGGCAGCACGGTCACCTGCACCAGGAACACCTGTTCGATGCCCTCGGCGGCCAGCCGGGCGCGCAGCTCGGGGCAGAGCGCCGGCAGATTGGCCGGCGCCGGCCGCCGGTCGCCAATCGGCTGCGGGTGCGCCAGCCAGTCGGGCAGCGCACGCGGTGCACGGCCTGTCGGCTCGAGCGCTCCACCTCGTCCAGCACGGTGAAATCGTCAGCGGCGGCGTCTCCGTCCGACTCGGAGGTGTCCTCACTGTCGTTATTGGCGACGGCGGCTGCCGCTGTGCGCTCAGTCGGCCATCACAGCAACACTCGCCGATGATTAGCGTCATCGAAACCGTCGGACGACGGTGGATTCACCACCGTTTTTGCAGCAGAGACTGGAAAAACCTCAGCAATAAACAAGGAAAAACCTCACAACATGCCACAGCCTGCAATTGTGCATATTGTCATTATATTTCTCACATGACAGAAAATATTTGTTGCTTTATTCTAGGAACTGGCATGAAAAACATAAGCTAAATCAAGCTAAGTGATTTATTATTGTATTTCAACATGAGACTGGGAAAAAATCCTTGTCACTGTCAACATGACCAGTGTAACGGACAGGCTGCATGAACATTTCGGCGCATGATCTGAAAACTCTGTGTGCAGAAAGTTCAGCGCTGAGGTGAACAAATAACATTTTGGCCGCAATTTGCCTGGTGCCTCCACAATTTTCCAAAACTAACTCACAATACTTACAGCCAGTTTTAACATGATCCCTGCATGACTCAAGCATGCAAGATACACATGCATTCAATATCAGCACAGTGCACACACAACAGTTATGGATTCATTTACATTTTACAACATTACCATTATTTTCTTTCCCTTCAATATTGGCAGCATGACTTGCTGAGTTAGTGGCACAATCTTATGACAGCAAGTTTGTTCGGGTTCGCAACCATACAAACTTTACACGTTTTGCTTCAAAAACAAGCCTTTATACATTTCTTTCATGCTATTCAATTTCTTTTTAAAAATTTATTGTCATTTATCTTGAAAATCTTGCCAATTCGGTCTTAGCAATGTCAATGCACCTTCCCTATTCCGCACAGCTCAAGCAAGTTCCACCCAAAAGTAGTAGTGGTATCAGTAGCTGGCGCCTTGCCACGTCAAATGTAGCTGAATATGTGAAAACAGTGACATATTTATTTAAAATCTTGAGTCCAATGAGCCTACCCTCTCTGCCTCTCCTTCCAGCATTTCTTCAAGCACCTTCAATTTCGAAAATGACCTTCCATCATTATTTTCCACTTCCGTCCGCGCAATGAACTTGTAAGCTGACCACTAGTTAATGCTCTATCATCTTGCTGTTGGGTGCTTGTAGCAAAAAGATAATATTAAACGAAAAAACTAACACCACAACACCAAACACCCGTCTTGTTGGTTTCTTTTGGTCCTGCCTGGTGACAAAGGCTCTTTCTTTACGCAATATTATCAGTATTCCTCTTCTAATCTTGAAGCCCAGATGCTTTACAAATTGGCCATGAATGATACTATTTTATTATATCAACTGAGAAGCGCAAATCACGATAGTTCGTAACAAATGAGGCCAATTATTCCAACACGACATCAAAAAAATAGACGGGGTCGCCTGTCTATTTTTTGGGCTGTTTTTCTACATATAATGGCGCAGAT